CCGGGAGGATGGGGGCGGTTCAAAGCCAGCGGAGCCGAGACGTGGAGTAAGACGGGCCTTTTCTCTAGAAGACGGTGGGAAAGGGGAAGAACAAACAAACCAAATAGAAAATGTGAAGGTCTTAGTTGATCAGAAATCACAATAAATGTCAAATGTTCAAAGACAGGCCCTCAGATTGAATAGAAAGAGACAAATCACAAGTTCTGACTCAAACGCGAGGGAGGGCGGAGGCGGCTTGCAGCTGCGCGCACACGAAGCAGTTCATTCCTGCATTATTAGGTCCTTGTAACTTGTATGACTTATTATTATTAAACTCCTTCTGCCACCCCTGTGTCGCTTACGAAGGGCACACTCAAAGTAACCTTCGAATGTTAACAACGAAAAGGTTGAAAACATTTATCAAAATGACAAGAAATAGTGAGTAGTCCTAGCAACACTTACATCATGCAAAATAAAATTCAAGGCAAAATATTTATTTATTTATCTATCTATTTATTTATTTACTTTTTAAAGATTTTATTTATTTATTTTCAGAGAGAGGGGAAGGGAGGGAGAGAGAAACATCCATGTCTGGTCACCTCTCGTGCGCCCCCCACTGGGGACCTGGCCACAGCCCAGGCCTGTGCCCTGACTGGGAATCGAACCAGCGGCCCTTTGGTTTGCAGGCCGGTGCTCAGTCCACTGAGCCCCACCAGCCAGGATGAGGCAAAGTATTTAAAAGGGACACAGGGTCGGGGGGCATTTCAAATTGGTGAGCAGGGCGCCTCACGCAGAATGCATGAGGGTTGGCTGCCGAAATAGAATGAAAACTGTGTCAAGCAAGGAGAAACGTACAAGCCCGTAATCATGGCCGGGCGCCTCCCCAGACGTCAGAGAATCGGATAGACTGTAAGTGAGTCTCCAGGGACCCCCCCTTTCCGCGGGCACACAGTCCAAGGACCCAGTGGGTGTCCGAAACCTCTCCGTCCTTCTTGACGCCACCCCGGCCCCCGCCCCGGCCTCCTGGGCCCCCAGGCTCCAGGCAGATTGCGGGCTTCCTCCAGCCCAGCAGCCTGCCCCATGCTGCCTAGCAACCACAGCAGGTCACCTGCTGCTCTGGGTGCATCAGGGCGGCTGCCTTGAACTTCCAGAGTTTTCTTTCAATCTGCAGCCGCATTAGACACCTGTGGGCCAAAGCTGGACACGCACCTGCACTCCAGCCACCAGCGGTGCGGGTCCCCGGGGCAAAGCGGGTGGGCCCCCTCTGGGCTGCCAGGAGGGCTCGGAGGGGTAGCCAGCCTCTCTCTGCATCAAAGTGCGATGATACCGGGCTGTTCCTGGCGCCCGCTCCTGCTGGCTGTTTCCGTGGGGCCGGTGCGAACCGCCGCGACAAGCACCCTGGGCGCCTGCCTGTCCTCGCGCAGGGAAGGGCTCCCGCAGACCGCAGCTGCTGGGCTGCGCAGAGCAGGGCGGGGCCGCGGCCCCTCCTCTGGGTGCTCAGCGCCGCCCTGTCCCCGGGAGGCGCCGGCCAGCTCCGCACAGCGGGAGCGGAGGAGGCCGGAGGCCCACGGCTCGGGCGCTTTTTGTTTCGATTTGCACCTTCTCACTGTTGCAGAGAGCGACTCCCTTCCAGCCTCAGGCCTCCACCCCCACTGGGGCGTCGTGTCCATCTGCCCTCCGCCTCTGCGTCGGCCGGAGCTCCCGCCCCCTAGGGAGTTAAACTGCGTCCGTTTGCGGGTCGCAAGGGCTCCCTCTCCCTCTACTGTTCGTCTTCTGACTTCGATGGCACTATATGTTACTTTGCCACCGAGGACCTTACGTTTTCACAGGGTTGAATTTTCTCTCTTTTCCTGGATTGTTGCTGGAATTCCTGACTCGCCTAAAATTATACAATTAAAGTCGTACTTCTTTTTCGATTAGAATATCTTTGTTTTGCATGCTGGCCTTTTAAAGAGCATCGCATTTATTTCGGCATTGGTGTGGGGTGAAGGGTTAAGGGTATCTTCAGTCTGTTGGCTGGGGGCCCGTCAGTTCTGCGTGGGTGGAGCTCTCCCCACCTCCGCAGGGGACAGACAAGGCTGCGCCCATGTCCCCGTGCACGCGGACTGGGTCCCGGGCGTTTTGGTCTCTCTCTGTCTCTCTCTCTCTCCCTCTCTCTCTCTCCCTCTCTCTCTCTCTCTGTGTCTCTCCCTCTCTAGATCGAGCTGTAAGCAAACAGCCTGTCTCCCAGGAAAACCCCGACACCTTGCCAACAGCCCCAGCGACCATCGCATGTTTGTCCTTCATAACTAAACGGGTTGCTCAAGAAGCCGCTTGGCCGGGAGGCCAGAGCCTCGGGCGACGTCTTCGGGAAGGACGGCCCCTTGGGGGCGCGGCCTCCAGAAATCTCTCTCTGTGCACTGGGCCTCCACAGGGGCCCTTCGGTGAGGTCATGAGGTTGATGCCCCTTCGTCCAGGCCGCGTGCCCCCGCGTGTGCACCAGCCCCTGGCGTGCTCGGGCCCTGGGGGAGACGGGGGCCCGGCCTCGGGCACCTGCTGGCCCCACAGCCAGGGCGGGCCACATGAGCTGGCTCTGCCTGGCCCACGCGGTCGTGAGGTCGTGCCCTCCAGCGACAGTCTGCCGGACACGGAGACGGTCTGCGTGGACCCGGCACCGTCCTAGAAAAAGGGCACAGGGGCGCGGCAGGAGCTGGGCTCTGCGGCCTCTGCCTGGGGAAGCTCACGGGGCAGGAGCCCCGCCTCCAGCGCCAGCCCAGAGGGCCAGGCGACAGGGCGTCTTCCCAGTGGGCAGGGCCCCGAGGAGCTGGGGGACTTAGCAAACAACGCAGCCGTCGCCTGGGGGCCCGGGGATGGGCAGTCGCCGGTTCTGTCCTGCCTGCCACGCTCCCTCCAGGACAGACTCACCCGTCCTCCGGCGGCTCCACACACAAGCGTGACTCGCCCTGGAAGCAGCCCTCTGGACCTCCCCCCGGGTCCCCGCCCTCGCCCGACAAAGGTGGCGGACGGCTTGGTCTCCTGGCCTCGTGTGGGACATCGCCAGGGACACCCAGCGCTCAGAGCGGCCCGTGGGCCTGGCTGCGTCCCCGGGCAGCTTGTCCCCGCGCCCCGCTGCCTGCCCTCGGCTCAGAGCCTGTTTCCTGGGACCCGCCCCAGCGTCCAGGGGAAGGGCGTTGCATTTTGTCCGTTTGTCATACGTCTGGTCATCTTACGAAATTCCCCTGCAGCGTCTAACTTTTTATGGAGCCTCTTGAGTGTTCCCGGTATGTAGTCACATTATCTCCCAAGAGAGATGCCTCTTGGTGTCCACAGCCACGCTGCTCACTTTATTTCACGGACTTGCTTCATTATGTGGACTTGCCAAACGGAGGGTCAGTAATAGTGAGACAGAGAATTCCCAGGACTCAAAAAGGTGAAGCTTTCTGATGTTATTGGAAGGTCATCCCTTCTTCAGGGAGCTTTCTTCCTATTTTACATAGTTTTTGAGACATGAGCAATGGATATGCAATGGTATGAAATGCTTCTGAGATGTTCTTTGACCAAAACCTCTGGGTTGACATAATAAATTCTTGATAGGATTCCTAAAGCTAAGCTGTTTTTGCATTTGTAACAAATTCTACGAGTTCATATTTTCTTGTTTTCTTAATATGCTGAGATATATACAATAGGCAACTGTTTTCTTTAAAATTTTTACATCAGTATTTGTAAATAAAGTTTCTGGTGACTTTCTTTCTCTGGCTATTGTCATAAGGCTTCGATATTCCTGTAATGCTGGCTTCTATAACAAGAATTTTGGCATTCCCCGCATTTTTTTCCATAGAAGGGAATTACTTCAATATCAGGAATTCCCTGACTTTGAAGGGGAAGGGGAACCCATTGTTAAAACTGCCCAGTCTCGTGCCTTTTTAAATGGCGATATCGGCTAAGTTTTCTATTTTTATCCCACAGGTTTTCCATTGGTCGCGGGCTTCTCGGTTGTGCAGGTGTCTCTGACGGAGGAGCCCGCCTGCGGGGCGGTGCACGGGTGCGGGGCGTCTGTATAGACTGTAGGTGTGCACGCCTGTGGTCAGCAACACGCCTAGCAAAGCGCGCGCCGGGCAGGCTGGGGGTAGGGGCGAGGAGGGAGCTGTGTCTTTTCATTTTCCACATCTGCCCACGGCCTGGCTCTACCAGCGGGCACGCATCACTTCGGCGATACAACCCAAACCTCTTCTCTGCTTCCAGCAGCAGCGCTGACGTCACTTTAAGCCAATGGGCCGCTGCTTCCAGGAGAGGCGGCACCGTGGCCTGCCCGCCCTGGGAATTGGCCTCGACGTGACTGGGCCTGAGCGGGAATTAGGAAAGACATTAATTCCATTAATTAATGCGCCCGCAGATTCCGCCTCAGCCACGGCTGTCTTAATGAGGTGCTGGGCATCCATTATTTATCTCACAATATCAGCTCTGGGCTGCACTTGTCTCAGGCTGGTGACAGATGTCCCTGCGGAGGGCCCCCTGCAGGAGCGGGCTCGGACCGCTCCCTCCTCCCCACGTGGGCCCTCCGCACGGTCTCTCCCTCTGTGGGTGACCCCTGCCCCTGCTCTCTGTCCTCCTTGCCCTGTACTTCTCTCTCCGGAACTCCGCTGGCCTGGGCCGCAGACCCTTCTCCCGCCTGCGCCGTGGCACCTTGCACGTGCCCTCGGGAACCTGTCCCTCCTACGCTCCTTTGCTCAAGCTCGCGGGGAAGTGGGGATAAGGACCAGCCCAGCCGGGCCCCACGCAGGCGGCTGCTGGCACCAATGGCGCAGAGCAGCTGACGTACCATTGTTCCCCTTCCCTCTCCCGATTTCCATTGCGCATCTCCACCTGGGCGCCCTGTCCCCGCCTGGCTCACGCCCACGCCCCGCGCTCGCGCGCGCGCCCGCTCGGGAGCTGTCCGCGGTGCTGACCAGGCGCGGCCCGCGGGCGGCCGCTGCGCACGCGTCCCGGGCGGGGGCGCAGCTCTGCCGGCGCCACCACTGCGCAGCCTCCCGCGCGGCCCGGGCCGGCCTGTGTGCGCCGCCCGGCGCCTCCAGGTCCCGGCCCGCGGCCTCCTCCGGCCATGGCGCTCGACCGCTTCCTCCTGGCGCAGTGCGCCTGCTACTTCCTGGCCTTCCTGTTCAGCTTCGTGGTGGTGGTGCCGCTGTCCGAGAACGGCCACGACTTTCGCGGCCGCTGCCTGCTCTTCACGGAGGGCATGTGGCTGAGCGCCAACATGACGGTGCAGGCGCGCGAGCGCTTCACGGTGCAGGAGTGGGGCCCGCCGGCCGCCTGCCGCTTCAGCCTGCTCGCCAGCCTGCTCTCGCTGCTGGTCGCCGCCGCGCACGCCTGGCGCACGCTCTTCTTTCTCTGCCAGGGCTACGAGGGGTAAGTGGGCGCCCGCGGCCGCCCGGCCCCCGACGCAGCCCTCGCCTCGGGCGCTCGGAGGCCCGAAAACGTCAGCTCTGGGCCCTCAGCCCTTCTACGCGCACGGCCCTTTGTCTGCACGCAGAACCCGGGCCGCGCGGCTCCGCCATCCTCCCCGGCGTGATGCCAGCGCGGCGCCCCCCCCAACTGCGCATCGCATCGCCTCCCGCTCCCGGCGCCGGGGCACTGGCCTCCCCTCCCCGCCTCCCCGGGGCTTCAGGTCTAGCACCGTCGTCCCGAGCCCGCCCTGGGCCTCCCTCGCCGCGCAGCCGGGACGCGCGCGTCAGCACCGCGGAGAGCTCCACCCCGGCAGGGCCCGCGCTCTGCTCCTGGTGGGGGTGGGGGCGCGGGGCGCCCGGCCAGGCCCCGTGCGACACGGTGGACCCGGGAGTCCTCCCCTCGCCCCCGTCGACCTGGGAGGGCTGATGGTGGGGGACGGTCTGGAGGGGAGCCCCTCGAGGCCTTGGCTGGGGGCGTCGGGCAGGAGCCCGTTCGCCAGGCCCCGCTTTGCTCCCGAAAGCCTCCCTCCCTCCCTCCCTCCCTGCCCCTGCCACCCCCTCCCTGCCCCCGGCTCCCGCCCCGGCGCCGCCTCTGAAGCGGGTGGGGTCCCATTCCCTGGGGGCTTCTGGAGGAGGGCGAAGTCTCAGCGACCCCTGTGCGTGGGTTCCTGGGCGACAGCAACCGCGGTCCCCTCCCCCCCAGGGCTGGAGGCCCAGGTCCAGAGGGATGGTGTGCACAGGGCTGGCCCCCCCGCAGGAGAGTCCCCCCACTCGAGCTTCTGGCGGCTGGGGTCTCCCCCCCAACCTCGGCCTCCACACGGCCTCTTACATTCCTGCGAAGGTTGCCCTTGCTGGATGCAGCCCCCCGCCCCCCGCCGCCCCTCGGCTTCCAGGTGACCTCGTTTGGAGGCCTTTAGCGTCACGACACCTGTGAAGAGCCTATTTCCTCGTAAGGCCACACTCACAGGCGCCGGGGCGAGGGCTGGGCACGTGGCCGGGGACTCGGCTCAGCCCCTACACGAAGGTTCTGGTTTGGAGTCTGCAGGACGTCACGCGTCAGTCTGGGGAGGCCCCCGGGTGCTGGGGGACTGGGCTCTGCCTGGGGTGCGCCCGAGTGGTCCTGCCCCGAGGACATGTCTGAGGCGCCATCGACGCCCACGTTGCCACAACAGGCGTCACCCAGTCAGCATCCTCGTGCAGGGTGGTGGCGGCAGCAGCATCTCTGAACACGAGGCGGGGCCTCGGGGAGAGGGCAGCAGGGCCGGCGGGGGGGGGGGGGGAGTTGGTTGAGGTCCCTTCAGCCTGGGGAGCTGGGGGCAGTGGGCACAGCCCGTGAGGGGTCCTGGTTTGTCCATCAGCTTGTGCCCACCATTCCAACATGTCCCCACCAGACAAGTGGCCTCGAAGCATCCAGGGTCCGCTGGCAAGGAAAACGGAGCAGCTGTCCAGGCAACCCAGCCTGCGTGGCTGAGAGGGAGGTGACTTCCGAGCCAGGACAGACCCCCAGCGGCGGGGGGCCGGCGGGGCAGCGGAGAGCCTGGGGCACAAGAGGCCGGGTCACGCAGGGCTGCCCACCACACACGAACAGGACAGCGAGCCCGGGGACCTTGTAATGGCAGCTCTGTCCTTGGTCATCCTATAGAAGGGTGCCTGTCAACTCTGCGGAGCTGCCATCGCTGTCCCCGTTGTTTTTTTTAGTTTTTAATTTTTTAATCGTCACCCAAGGACGTGCTTGGAGAGAGCCGGAGGGAGGGGCCGAGGGGAGGAGAGAAACATTGATGTGAGACAGAAACATCGATTGGTTGCCTCTCGCCTGTGCCCCGACTGGGGACCGGACCTGCACCCCAGGCCTGTGCGCTGACCGCGCATTGAGCTGGGGACCTTTCAGGTCACTGGGCGACGCCCGCGCCACCGAGCTGCTCTGGCTGGGGCGCCACCCCCAGTTAAAGACAGAACGCTGGGGCCCGGGTTTCCCCGCACCTCCCAGGGAGGGCCGCAGAGTGAGCTCGCGAGCCGGAGCCCTCATGGGAGGGGGGCCGGGCAGTGCGCCCCCAGGCCTGGCAGGGGCAGCTCTCTGCGCAGCGCACCCTGAGGAACGAGCAAGGGGCCTGGGCCCTGTGGCTGCCAAGGGGGGGGGGGGCTCGCTGTCCCCGGGCAGGCGCAGGCGGAGGCCGCCTGCGGCCAGGGGCCTGGGCAGGGTGCCGAGTGGGGCCAGTGAGCGTCCAGGTGGCCGTGGCTTGCGATCGACGGCTGGGGATCGCTGGGTTAAAACGACCCATCTGTCTGCCACAGCCTCCCAGGGCTTCCGGATGCCGTCGCCATGGAGACGGCACATCCAGGCTGGGTGCCCTGAGAGGCTGCAGGAGAGATGACGTTAACCCTGTGTCTGCGGCTCCCCACCTGACCAACCCCCGCCCCCGCCGGTCCTGGCGGGGGAGGCGGGGCGGGGGCCGGGGCCGAGTGCGGCTCTGGCTCTTCCAGAACCTTCCATGTTTCGAGAAAGCTGACCAGGAAAGGACGAGAAGAGAGGGAGGAGGCTCTGGCAGCAGCCACCCCTGCCGGGCGCCCCTCCCTGTCTTGTGGGCTGTGGTCTCCAAGGTCTGGCCCTGCGAGACCCAAACGGCTCCCACTTACTAGGGAGCGGCTGGAGCGCCCGGGGTCCCTGCGGTGGAGGCTGTGTTGTCATGGGCCTCAGAGGCGGATGGGCAGCTTTCTGACGCGGCTGCCATGCCTCGGACCCGCTGGGGGCCCCCAGGACCGCCACGTCCTTGGCCGGAGCAGAGCCGCCGCCCAAGGCTGAGATGCCGGTGCAGGTTGCGGGGATCTCGGCTGCCCTCCTAGCAACAGCTCCAGGGGGCGGGGCCGCCCTGTAACCTGAGCCCCTCCCAGCCCCCCATGATGTTGACGCAGCAGCTGCCAGGCCGCCCCCGCCTGCAGGCTCCAGGCAGCTGCTTCCCCCGCATGACTCAGCAGCCTCTCCCACCGCACGTCCCACACCCGCGGCTCCCGGGCGCCCAGGTCAGAGCTCGGGGGCGTCGTGCACCCAGAGCGGCGGCGCGTTGTCCTTCACCCACACGGGCCCCCCGCCCCCGCGCTCCTAGGAACCTGGGGGAGAGGCTCTCGCTACCCAAGTGACGAGGGGAAACTGAGGCCCAGAGAGGGGTTTGCACGGCGGGTGCACGGATCCTGCCTGGGTCCAGGCTCCCCGCCCGCGACAGCCGCCCGGGTGTTTCTGGGGCTGAGTCCGGCGGAGCCCTTTTCAGTAAACGTTCACCATGATGTGCGTCACTTTCCTCGCACGCTCCTGTCACACCTGCTGACAGGCGAGAGGAGGGCTGGGCTGCCCTTCAGGAGCGGGTCCCCCCCGGGGCACCCTGTGGGACAGACAGTCCCTGTGTTGCTGTCCCCGCGGCCTCTGCGAGCGTCCAGCCTGGGGCTGGCGTGCAGGACGCGGATCCACAGGGGCGGCTCAGAGTCGGGGGGATGCTGGGCGCCTGCAGGGGTGCAGGAGTCTGGGGGGCGTTTCTGCTGCCCACTCCCCCGGCCTCCAGAGCACCCGCTGCTGCCGGAAGCACCCGGCCACCCCTGTGTGGGCCCCGCCCGGCCCTGGCCGCACGGGGCAGCGCGACCGGCCCTGAGCCAGCGCCCTCCTGCCTCCCCGGCCGCCCGCCCGGCCTGGCCGCAGCTCAGCCTTCAGGTTTGGAGGGGCTCCGGAGCAAGGTCGGGCGGCACGTTGGTGGCCGTGGGGTGCATGGCCTCCAGGGCTGTCTCGTCTTTTCAGCCCCTGTGCCAGGAGCCCAGTGCCCGGGCTGAGGTCTGCCCGCCTCTCTGAAAGGCGGTGGAGACCCAGGTGCCCGCTCCCTGGCCTCTGGGGGACAGGGCCATATGAGAGACAGCGGGGTGAGGGGCCTGCCACAGTGGCCCCACTCGCCTCAGGGCGGGGCCGCCCCAGGTACAGGGCCTGGGGTGGCGCCCGCTGACCCCCTGTCCTACGCCTCCTGCAGCTCCTTCCTCTACGCCACCCTGAACCTGCTGGTCAACGCCTTCGTGGTCTTCCTCGTCTTCATCGCCAGCACCATCGTCAGCGTGGGCTTCAGCCTGTGGTGTGACGCGGTCACCGAGAAGGGCGCCATGCCCCACAGGTGCGCCCTGGGCCCTCCCGCGGCTCCCTGGCGGCCCCTCTGCGTGCGAGTCCGGGCCTGCGCCGCCGCTCTGCTGATCCTGGCTGGGCCGCACCTGGGCCCGCACCTGGGCCCGCACCTGCCGGCGCCGTCCCTGGGACCTGCCCTCGACGTCGGCGCCCCTTCCCAGTGACGGAGCCGGCCACCTCCCTCCCAGCGGGGCCCCCACGCACCCTGGGGTGGCTCTGGGTGGGGGTGGCGGCCCGGGGGGGCAGAGCTTCCCGCTGCCCCGTCCTGTCCGGCATGTGGCGGGATGGCAGGACCCCACGGTGGGCTCCAGGCCCCCAAAGCCTAGGTCTCTGGGCCCTGAGCAGGGGGCAGCATCTGGCTGGGGGACCTCAGGGGGAGCAGGGTGATGGCCCAACTCCCAGAGGGGGCTGCCCGCCACCCAGTGCCCTCGGGTCACCTCCCCCAGAGGCTCCAGGTTGTCTGTCGAAGCGAAATCAGACCCGGAACCGAGCGGGCAGGAGGATGAAAAGGTGGAAGTGTGGGGCCCCTCCTCTGCTCGCCTGCCCCCGCGCCCTGGGCCAGGCCGCTGACCGGGGAGGGCGTGACACCCTGGGTGGCTGGCTCCGCAGGCCCCTTGCTTCCTCTTCCTCTGAGGGCATCCGGGCCGGGTGGCCCCTGGGCGTGGCCGGGGCTTCGCCAGGAAGACGCGCCAGCTTTCTTTGCTCTCCCCGCGAACGCCAGCTCCCACCCTGCGCCCCCCAGCCCCAGTCTCGTCCCCGCGAGCCCAGGCCTCAGGGCCCCTCTCCCCGGGCCCCGGCTCCGGCTGCCCTGTCCCCACATCTCGGCATGCGTCAGGGCCGTGGGGCCCCGCCTCCTCCACTTCCGGCTCTGAGGCCCGGCCCTGCTGCCCACGGGCGGGGCTCGCAGCGCCGCTTAGGCCTGGTGGTCTGCCCTGCCCGGGCCCGTGGGAGGGGCCGGGGTCTCCGGGGCAGCAGAAGCTGGCGCTGGCGGCCCCCGCCGTCTGGGGCCAGGCTGGGCCGGGTCTGCAGGGCCTGAGGCTCCCGCCTGCCCCGCCTTGGGGACAGCCCCCTGCCCTTTGGGGTGATGCCCGCTGGTTTGGTGCCTAGTGGCCCGACAGTCACGTTCCCCGTCTGCCCCCTGCCATTTCAGCTGTGAAGAGTTCCAGGACGTGGACTTGGAGCTGAACGTGGACAACTCTGCCTTCTACGATCAGTTTGCTATTGCCCAGGTGGGCGGGGCCGACGGATGGGAGGGGCTACTCTGGTGGGCGGGGCTACCCGGTGGGAAACTGCCATGTGGGCGGGGCCCCAGGCAGGAAGGGAGGCCTGCACTGCCCTCCAGGAGACCCTGGTGGACTCTGAGGGAGGCATCTGCTGGAACACAGGCGCGTCTGGGCACGTCGGTGGTCAGCGACAGCCTGTCCCTCACCACCTGTGTCTGTCCCCGGAGAGGACACTGATGAGGCCAACGAGGGGGACCGGGGTGGGGGCGGCTCCTCCTGGCGCGAGCAGAGCTCCCCGGCCGCAGGCGCACGTGCGCCCCCGGCTGGCCGCGCAGGCCAGCGGTGTCCAGCGGTTGCTCTGGGGACTCCTGCCGGACGGGCCCTCCGGGGACTGGACGTCCGCGGGTTGGGGGTTCTTTGCAGAGACGGGCTGAGCCCGTCAGACACGCCTTCAGGGACTTCGGTGGGAAGCGCTGCAGCCCCGGCCCCGGACAGTCAGGTTAAGGGGGAGCCAGTGAGTGCTGCCAGGTTAGCGCGGCTCAGGCCTTGGTCTGATTCGCTCGGTTCTCCTTGAGCTGTTTGGAAACAGCAGCTAAAGGTCAGCGTGTTCTGGCAACGGCAGGAGGTTCCCTCCGGGACAGCCGTCCTTGGAGCTGGGCGCTGAGTGTGGGAGGAGCTCCGCGGGGTGGAGGGGCCCGCCAGCCCGGGGCGAGGGCAGACCGGGCAGAGCCCCCGAGGCACCTGCACCGCGTGGGCGGGGGAGCGACGGTGGCTGGGGAAGGAAGGAAGCTGGAGGTCACCGGCGGAGCTCGTCCCTGTCCTCGCCCCAGCGGGTCCTTGCCTCTTCCCCCGCGGCCCGGTCCTCCCCCCGGGGCCAGGGGGTGGGGGTGGGTGGGCGCAGGGAGCGGCCGGCGCTGACCACGCCTCTGCCCTCTGCGCAGCTCGGCCTCTGGGCCTCCTGGCTGGCCTGGCTGGCCCTCACCGTCCTGGCCTTCGTGAAGGTCTACCGCAACTGCCGCGAGGAGGCCCTGCTGGAGAGCCTGGCCCACGAGAAGGAGCTGCTGCTGGCCCGGCCGGCCCGCACCGCCTTCCAGGAGGAGAAGAGCGCGGTCATCTAGACGTCCCGCCCCGGCCCCCGCCCCCGCCACCTCGGGGCGGCCTGTCCCGGGGTGCGGCGGGCGCCTGCCTGCGCCCCTCCCCGGCCCCACCACCATGCATGTCTGCCCGCGCCCTGCGCGTCCTGAGTAGCCCCGCTCGCCGAGCGCCCGGCTTCCCGCTGAGACTGCGGCGGCCCACCCGTGGGGCCGCGAGGGCCTCCCCCAGGCTTCACGCGGCTGTCGGGGCGCCTGGTGGCGAGGCTGCGGGGAGGCTGGCCCGCCCCTCGGGCCCCCCAGCTGTGAGGTCCGGGCTCTGCGCACGTGCCCCAGCCCGGCCTCGGCACCAAATGTGCGGGACGGGTGTGTGGCCTGGACTCGAGAGCGGCTGCGCGGGTGTCCTGGGAGCGGCCGCCGAGCCAGGGCGGGGGGCCCGGGTGGCCTGTCTGTGTGCACGAGAGGGTGTGACCGGGTGGTGTCCGTGCACAGGGGATGAGTGTGTGTGTGCACGTGTGAGAGTGCTGGTCCATGAGAGCATGTCCACACACGGTGCGTGAGTGTGAGCATGGTCAGCATGTGAGTATGCACAAGCATGCGGGGGTGTGTGCACAGTGTGACAGTGTGCGTGTGAACATGTGAGCGTGCGTGCGCACAGTATGAGTGTGTGGGCGTGTGTATGCAGTGTGAGCGTCCATGTGCACAATGAGCGTGTGTGCACACAGTGTGAGCATGTGAGTGCGCATGTGCAGTGTGAGCGTGCGCACACAGTGTGAGCGTGTGAGTGTGTGTGTGCACGGTGTGAGCGTGTGTGCGTGCACGAGGCCAGAGCAGGGGAGGAAAGGCAGTCGATTCGCAGCCCCTCTGCACCCCCATCCACGGGGCGGCGGACGCCCCGGCAGCCTGGGCTGGGCTCTGCCTTCCCAGCTGAGGCCCCGAGGTCCCGAGGGCATGACCCTGCCCCCACAGCAGCACGGGGGGCAGCGTGACTGTGGACCCCTCGTCCAGAGGCTCGCGGGCTCCCCAGCTCCCCACCGGCGCCCGCCCTCTGTGTCCTGCCAGGAGGGGGCGCCCAAAGGGCAGGAGCACCCCGCCCCCAGCTCTCTGAGCCTCGTTTGCTCCCCGAGCCTCCCTTGGGCTGCAACGCTTGCTTCCCTGCTGTGCCCCCCACCCCGGGCTCCGGGAAAGGAAGACCCTGCTCCCCATGCCCAGGGCTCTCACTGCCGGCGACTGGATTGGTCTCCCAGGCGAGGGCACGGGGCCTCCGGAGGCCAGGACCCGGACCGGGATCGAGGGGCAGGAGGGGGCCGTGGACAGGAGAGGCCGGGGAGGGAGGCGGACTGTCGCAGACGCCCAGGCCTGTCTCAGGCTGGCTGCCCCCAGCACCTCCAGACACGTCCAGGCCTTGGGGGCGCCCAGCCAAGGGCAGCCGGGCCCCCGGACGGGCGCGGGGCCAGGGGCCGTGTGCCCGTGCCAGGGGCAGGGACAGGCCCTGCTGGGCTGGACACGAAGGGCCAGCGGGCGTTCCCGGAGCTCCTGGCGGGGGCCGCCCATTGCTTTTCCCTGCTGTTTGATAACAACATTGTGTTTTAACTCCACTTCTGGCTACACTGAAAGTGAAGATTCTTAAGTGTATTTATTTCTCAATGTCAAAATAAAAACAGCAAGACCAAAGCCTCTCGTGTGGGTGCGTTTCACCGCCCCTCTCAGGGGCCACACTGCCCAGCGTCTGCGGGCGAACGCCGCCTCCCTGGTGGCCCCGGAGGCCGGCCCCGGCCCCCCACGCCGTGTCGCTGCACACTTCCCGGGGGTGGCCTTCCCGCTGCGCCCACGCAGCTTCGCGCAGACGGCGCATCCCTTTCTCAGGCGGACGGCGTCGCCTGGAGCGGTTTCCCCAGAACTGGCGTGGCTGTCACCTGTGGGCCTGCGGAGCCAGCGCGGCTCGTTTCTCTGTGGCTTCCGCAGCGACCAGCCTCTTGTGCCAGCACGGCCCCCCTCATCCTTCCCTGCCGGCTTGGCCCCAGGCAGGACAGGGCTGGAGGGCCGAGGCCGGGGCCCGTGTCCCGACCCCTCTGAGCCTCAGTGTCCTCATCTGGGACGTGGGTGATGACCTGCCCGTCCTCTTCGGGGGGCGCGGGGAGACGAGATGAAGTCCTGGGGGCTGGGCTGGTGCACGGTGGGGGGGCTGTGAGGCCGGAGGGTCCCTGGAGACCAGGTCTGGGTCTCCTTTCAGCCACAGGGGCCTCTCTGGGGGGCGTCCTGGCCTGGGATCCCCGAACTGAGAAGCCAAAAGGGGCCCCGGAGACCCCGGGGGATGGACGACCCCAAGGGGCGACCGGGCATAGCTGCCTCTGGAAGCACATCCGGAGGCTGCCCCAGCGGGCTCGGCCCGTCCCTGGCAGCCGCCCCGGGTCTGACCGTGGGCCTCCCCACTCCTCGCAGGTCCAGAGGGCCCTGGCGCCGGTCACCAGGCTCCGGCACGTGGGCTTGGGGGTTCGCGTGTGTCCGAAGGCGGTGGGTCCGGGCAGGGCCACCCTGTGTCTCAGCCTGTCGCTGTCCCCTCTGCTCCGCACCACCAGGTGGACGGCTGGGTGGATCTGGGCTGGACGCGTTTTCCCTGGGACGTGGAGGGTCCCCAGGCTGGGGCTCAGGGTCAGGCCTGGGTGCCCCGACACGGCAGGGCTTCAGCGGCGGCCTGCGAGGGCGCCGGGGGGCCGCCCCACCCCCACGGCCAAGCCCCTCTCCCCCGCCGGGCGGTGGAGGCTCCCGGCCCCGCAGGCCCCCGGTGGCTGAAGGCTGCTTCCGCCGCCCCGAGGGGTCCCACAGACACAGGGCAGGCGTCCCCGCCTCCCAGGGGCTACAGGCGGCCGCGTCCAGCCCGGGCCCCGGGGCACCGAGCGCTCCTGCTGGACAAGGCAGGGGTCTGCAGGACAGGCCCAGGGCCCCCGAGTTGTTTCAGCGGTGGGATCCCTTCCTCCCGAGGCCTCTCCGTGGGCCCCGGCCTGTGGCGCGGGAGGGAGGGCTGCGCTGACCGCAGGGGCCGCGGACCCTGCATCCGGCCTCAAGCCGGGGTGGGGGGGCCCGCCCACAGCCCCCTTGGTCTTGGGTTCAGCCCCGGCCGCTCCAGGCCCTCCGTGGCTGCCGGGGCCGTGGGGCCGTGGGCGGCGGCGGGGCCGTCACAGCTGGGGCAGGCGGTGCCAGCAGGCGAGGGCGGCGTGCCGGAGGTGCAGCGCGAGGGTGCGGAGCCGGGCGCGCAGGTCCTCCAGGGCCCGCGCGACGGGCTTGGCCCGGCCGCAGCACAGGCCCAGCAGCAGCACCAGCAGGGCGCACACGGCCAGACGCAGCAGCAGGGAGCCGGCGCCGCTGCGGGGCCCGGGCCGGCGGGGCGCGGGGGGCGCTGCAGGGAGAGCGGGGCTGGCACGGAGGCTCTGCCCTCGGGCGGGGCCCTTGGGCCGGCCACACAGTCCCCACGGGGGGCGGGGCCCCCATCCCTGCCCCGTCCTCGGTCGGGGGTGTCCAAGGGTGGCCCGGGGCTGGGGCGGCACCGCAGGGCACTGGGCGGTGCGGGGGGAGGGGCAGAGGGCGCCTGGGGGCGCTGGGGGCTCAGAACTCACCCTTGGCGGTGGGCGCGGGCTCCCGGCCGGCGATGTCTGGAGAGGAGAACTGAGGGTGGGCTCGCAGTGAGGGCCCCTGCGGGGGGCAGGCCGAGCCCCCCGCACCGCAGGGCATCTGCCCCGCCCAGAGGGCCCAGGTGCCCTCTTTACTGATGGGCAGCCCAGGCTGTCCACGCCGCCCACCGGCCCGTCTGCACCCGCGGTCCACGCGGCCTTGCCGCCCCCGCGCATCGAGCCGGTGGGAGTCGGGGCCTGCGTGGCCGCAGCGGTGGCGGGGCTGGCGCCTGAGGAGGGTAGGGCCGGACCCCCCCCGTCCCGCCCCCGTGGCTCCCCGGGGGCCCCAGGCCCTCTCGGGACTGCCAAGGCCCGGACTCCCCCTCCGCGGTCTCCACCCTCCCCCCACAACCCGCGCCCTCGCCTGTGTGCGGCCCGCTCCCCTCAGTGCGGCGGCTGCAGCTCATCCCCACCCACCGGCCCCTCTCAAAGGCCACGCACGGTTGGCCCGAAAAGGGGGCCAGCTTGGGGGGGCCTCGCCCGCCCGGGGGAGCTTTGAGGAGAGGGCCCGGCGGTCGGAGAGAGTCGATCACTGGCCTCCACAGTGCGGCTGCCGGCAGCTCCAGGACCACCCGGGAGCTGGGCAGGCAGCCCGGCCCAGGACGGGCCCAGCCCTGCGTGGCGGTGGCCTTGTGACCCCCGGGCGAGGACCGCCCCACACCGTCCCGGCCCCGCGCCCCTCTTACAGTGGACGGCCGCCTCCAAGGGCTCGCGGAACCTCACATGCCTCGTGGCCCTCGGCGGCTCGGCCCCGCGGCCCCGGCGCTCCGGCTGGCTGCGCCTCAGGATCGAGGGGGGGCACTTCCTGTCACCGTCCTGGGGCGAGGGTGGGGGGCAGAGGGAAGCCAGTGGCCGTGAGCGCCCCCCCATGCTGTGCCCCACCCAGAGCACCGGCCGCCCTCTCTGCCAGGCCTGACCCCCAAAGGGTCACTCCCTGTCCCCAGCCCTCACGCCTGCTCTTTCTGCTCCCTGGGGGTCTGGGGGCTGGGCACCAAGGCCTGCCCGGCACCCGCAGCCTTACCTGCCCCGCCCTGGGCCCCGGTGAGCCCAGAGCGGCCGCCGCATTCCTCCTGGTCTGGCGTCGCGTCCCTGGCCGGGAGTCAGGGCTCAGGGCTTGCGCTGCCGTCCTCATCTACTGCGCCATGGCCCTGGGACCAGCAAAGACGCCGTTCGCCGCCCAGCTGCACGCCGGGAGCGACGCCGGTGGAGGGAAACTCCCCAGGAGCGACGGCCTCCCCGCGGGGAGATTCGCCCCCGCTCCCAGGCGCCCCTGCCCCCGCTCCCCACCGAGCAGCCTGCGCCCGCGGCTGGGCCTCCCGACACTTCGGCACCTTGACGGCCGCGTGCTAGTCCTCTGCCTCCTGGCCCCCGTTTACCCGGGGTTTGCATTTTATCACCGCGCGCGGTTTTCCGAGGCCTTAGCTAAGGCTCCATCTTTTCAGGAGAGCGGCTCAGGGCGGGAGGGGCGGAGGGTGGGGGCAGCGCTGGGGGGCTGGGACAGGCTTCTGCAGGGGCCACACCTAGACCGTGTCCGTCCCTCCGTCCCCCTGCCCTCCTGGTACCCTGTGTCACCTGCGACCCTTGATTACAGGGAGGCCCCTGCACATCTCTTTCTCTGCTCACAGCCCCTTGGGGTAAATTTCCCCTCACATCCTTCGAGGGGTCCCTGACTTCAGAGACCTCCTCCAGTCCCTCTCGGGGTGCAGACCCCACCCCGAGCAGGTGAAGGGAGCCCAGTGTTGACCACTGGTCCTTCCGGTGCCCTGGGGGCACCCGCCTTCACCCTGGATGCACAGGCAGGGGCGTCTAGGCCACCCCACACGGAGCCGCAGGGAGGGGTGGGGTTTGGAGGCGGGCGACGTGACCCTGGGCCTCCAGGCGCCCTGCCTCAGGAGACAGCAGGCCGGCGGCTCCCCTGGACCCCCTGGGGGGCACCAGTCCCCCGTGAGCAGAGCGCCCGTGAGCGCTGCCTGCGAGGACCCGCTGGGGCCGCTCGGATTATTTCAAAAGGAAACAATTTTCTCCCATCGCAGCATCGGGTGTTTTATTGCAAACAGGGGTCAGGGCAGGAGCCGCCGGCTGGGGCGGAGGGGGCAGGAGGGAGGCCTGAGGGCCGCGCCGGCTCTGCGTGACCCTGGGTCCCTCCAGACGGGGCCGCAGGCTGGAGACGCTTGGCACTGGCCGAGCCGCGTGGGACCCGCGGGGCTGGACCCCTGGAGGCCCTGCCGGCAGCGCCCAGGCGTGGAGCCGACCGCCCCCGGGTGCCCGGGGCTGCCACGGGGCGTGGGGACAGCAATGTGTGAGTACGTGCACATGTGGGAGCACGTGTGTGCATGAGTGTGCGCACAGGCGTGTCCATGTGTGTGCGTGCACGCACTGAGCATGGGGGTGACTGTGTGTGCACGTCTCCATGTGTGAGTGTGATGTGCCCGCATGCACACGTGTGCATGGAAGTGTGCGTCTGTGTGCAGGGTGTGCGTGAACGTGCAGCGTGCAGGCGTGCGTCCCTGGCAGTGCCTGGGCAGAGTCGCTCCGTGGCTCCGGTGCAGCCGGCCCCACGGGCTCGGCCAACTCCAGCTGTGCCTCATGTGCCACGCGTGACCGCGGGCAAGCCTGGCCTCCTGTGCCGCTGTCCACGCAGCCGTGAGGCGGGAGTAACGGCAGCAGCCCCTGCGTGGCCTTTGGTGCTGGGGGGGGCCGGGTGCCTGTCGAGGGCTCAGAGTGGGTCTGGGGCCGAGTCGGCGACAGAGCCGCCGCAGCGCTGACTCAGGGACAGGGCATGGCTCCATGCCTGTGGGCCGCCCGCTCCTGGGGCCATGGTGGGGGCTTCCTCCGGCTGCCCCTCTCCCCGCCTCCTCGGCCTGCCCTCGTCTGGGCCGCTCTGTGCTCCAGGGGGGGCTCCCCCCCGCCTGCTGCACCTGAGCGTTTTGCCGCGGCTCCAGCCTTGCCTCACCGTGGCGGCGGAATCTTTGCTGAGTCCTGGGCTCCGTCCGTCTTTGGCTCAGGGACCTGAGTCATTGGCGTGACAACTCTAGGCCTCAGTTTTGCCACCAGAGACGCGGGGGGCAGGGAGGCTCAGCAGGGGCAGCCCACCTCAGCCCTGCCTCAGCCCGCCCAGCACCTCCCCAGGGCAGGGCCCTGCGTCAGGGCCTGGGGCCTCTGGCAGGGACCACGTGTAACCTGAGTGCCCTCCTGACAGATGGGCGATAAAGGGTGGAAAATAGCTCCCCGGCCGCTGGGGCCTGCGCAGGGTCAGCCCCGCCCGCCCACGGAGGCACAGCCCCAGCCTCGGGGGCGACGGAGCTCGGGCTCCTGACCCCTTTCCTGGAGCCAAGGCCACGCCTCCACAAGACCCCGACAGCCCGTGGTGCTTGGCCTAGTGCCCCCAACCCTGGCCCGAGGCCTTCGGGAGATGGTGGCGGAGCCCACAGGCCCCCGCGGCCCCCCAGGGCCGTCTCCCCGGCCAGGTCCCGCACCCAGTCCTGGCTGTTCCCACCGGCCTCCGGGGCGTGTGCGGGAGGCGCGGGCTCTTCGCACCGGGTTCAACGCCAGGCCCCGGGGTCCCAGCCTCGGCTCCCGACCCGCCCTTGGAGCTTCCTGCCTCCTCTCGGGCGGCCGTCACGCCCTTGTGCTCCCAACCCCTGTGCTCTGCCCGGCCCCCTGCCTGCCCACCGCCCACGCCGCTGCCTCACCATAACCCCTGAGGCCCCCAGTGCAGCGCCCGCCTGCCCGGGAGGGTCCTGCCTCAGCCCCGGCCCTGGGGCTGCCCCGGCTCAGCGGCCGTGCCCTCCCGGCCGCCCCTCCAGCCGCGCGCTGTGCCGTCCGCCCACGGGGACCTCGGGCGCAGGGGGCGGGGGACCTGGTCGGGGCGGAGGGTCCCACCTGCGCACCAGGTCCCACAGAGCCCCCGCCAGGCCCCTCCTGCTGTCTGGTCGCCGGTGACACCTCTTCCAGGAGCACCTGGGCTGGAGGCCGGGGGAGGACCACGCCGGGACCTCGACCGGGAGAGGCTGGAGCTCAAGGGAGCCCCACTCACACCCCGTAATCACATGCGTGCCCACCCCCCCGTGTGCGCACACGCACCCACTGCCCCACCTGGGCTCCCGCAGGTGCGGCTCCTCCGCGCGAGCTGCCCGCCTGCCGTCCCCGATCGCTGGCGTCCGGGCCCCGAGCAGCGGAACCAGAGCCGCTGGGGCGCACGAGCCAGCGGAGGAGATTCCGTTACAGCCGGCGTGGCCCTGAGGCCCAGCCACCCCGCCGCCCTCTGGACCGTCTGGCTCTGGAGGCGGCTGTCCCGGAGGGGCTCGGGGGGCTCTGGGCAGCGCTCGACCTCCCAGAGCTCTGGCGCTGGTTCTGGGCGGCCGGGCTGAATTAGAGGGGCCGAGGCCACCCCTCGTCCCTGCCGGGCGGGAGGGGGAGCCGTGCACACCACACGGGCCCGCCCTCGGGGCGAGTGAAGAGGCTGGCGGTTCCCCAGCAACTCGTGGCTCTGCATTAAGCAAGAGCGGCATCTGGGGAGCCCCGAGGGGAGGGGACCAGGCCGGGGCTGCCGGCTCTCTCACCGCTGGCCCTGGCAGGACAGACAGCAGGCGCTCGCCTGGCGGCCCGAGGCCCCTGCCCTCGCCACAGCGTGTGGCCGGGAGTCCCATTTGGACGCAGGGCCACAGTCGGACTGGGCGGTGGCTGCGTGTCGGCTGGGTGCAGGGGCCTCTCTGGGGCACAGCTGCCCATGGCCCCAGGGCCCCAGGCAGACGGGGCCGGCCCGACACCCCAGGTTCCAGTCCCCACGCAGGACGCGGGGTTTGCCGACCGCCCAGAGCACAGTGAGGACAGAGACGACCTGTTAACCCTCCTGGAGGGGACCCCACACAGCAGGTGCCACATGAACAGTGCATCCAGGGCAGGATGACCCGCTGAAGATCCCGGCCTGGAAAGGGGCCGGTTCCGGGGGACTCCCGAACGCCACGGCCGGGGCTCCTGCGGCCGAGGAGCCAGCTCGTCCGGCTCGGCTGCGCCGCGGGCAGCCGCAGGGCCCCAGGGCCTTTGGGGAAGACTGCTGGCCTCCGCGCCCGACTCTGGCCCCCTAGGGGTTCAGCCCCCTTCCCAGGACCCCTTCACCTCTCAGGCCTGCAGCCCTGGCCCGAGACCCCAGCGCCTGGTGGCTTCTGAAGGGACCGGCTTGGCTCAGTGTCCGGCAGAGTTTGGAGAGACCCGCGGTCCAGCTTCCGGGTTGGGACCGGGCCTCAGGCAGGAGCTGGGTGAAGGGCCAGCAGGGCCGTGGGCTCAGGCCCGGCCGCCTGGGAAGCGCTCAGGCACCAGGGGCCGGGAGGTCGCCGAGGGCCCCTACCCCCACCGTGGAGACGAGATGCCAGCTTCCGGGCGCGGGATCCTCCGGGGCCACCAGCCGCCCGGCTTGCCTGGGGCTGTGCCCACGTTACGCCTGATGGCCGACGTCCCAAGTGAGGGGAAGGGCAGTCCCTCACTCCCAGCTCCCACCCCGGGCCGCAGAGCCCCCCGCCCGGCCTCTGTCCACGCCCGCCGAGGCGTCCCCGCCGCATGGGGAGCGGGCGACCCCTGCCCCCTGAGCGGGGACCTCACCTGGCTCCTTGCTGGGTCCGTGAGGGGCAGCGGCCGCCGGGCCCTGCGGTGCCCCTTGCTGGGCCCGGTCCAGCCCGGCCTGGCCCAGTCTCAGGGGGCAGCCCGCTCTGTCCCCGGAGAGCGGGCGCCAAGCCGCACGCATGGACAGGGCCGCACCTGCCCAGCCCCGGCGCTGGTCTGCCCCGCGGCCGGCGTGCGTCCCCGCCCGAGGCCCCTCTGCCGGGACGTGGCGCCCAGCCAGCTGGCGAAGGCTGAGCTATAATTACCTCTCCCCTTTGGCAGAAAGAGCAGCGACCCCAAGGAGAGGCCGCTGGCCCAGAGCGGGAGCGGGGCGGACGTTTCCCAGGACCCAGGAGCGCGGGGCGGGCCTGCAGACCAGACTGGGGCAGCGCGCCCCTCCCCCACCCCCTGGCCGGCCGCGGCCTCCCAGGCTGATTCCGGGCCTTGCGGTTCTTGGAAAAACCCATGGACCGGGGTCAGAGGCTGGGGGAGGGGCAGAGAGTGGGGTAACGTGGGGGCTGGGCGGGGCGCGGC